TTGATCTGGTCCAGTTCTTTAGTACTAAATCTGAAAATTAATTTGAAATGTATTATAAATTCTATATTTGAAACATGATCACTATTTAATGCTCTCAGTTGCTCTTACAGCCAATGTCATGTATCTGAATATTGAGAGACTTCTGCCTCCACAAACCTTCAAACTCTGAAGCTGCCTAAAACTGGCACAAAATCTGCCTAGAGCTGGCACATCTGGGTTCTTTATTTTAAGTTAATCATGATCCCGGGTAGAATTCTTTAAGAAAATACTTAAATCCTGGGCTGAGAATTTGTATGTCCTTCAGAAATATGGAATTCCATTAATGAAAGCTACTCAGTTCAGCTTATATTAGAAGTACGTGAAGTTCTCTGGGACTTTATGAAGAAAAACATAAAAATAAAATCACGTTCTGTTATAAAAAGCTATCACATTTTACTATGCACAAATATAACTTTTCACATAGTTATACATATGCGGTGGGTAAAAAGAGAACAAGACAGACGTTAAAAGAGGAAATGAATGACTATATAGATATGGTGCTGACAATAGTATTCACTTCCTCTGCTAAGAAAGTGATGTTAACCCTGAAATAATCTCTTTAGAAAATTATACCTGTCAAGTCTAAATTTTCTGTGTGCCCAACATTGCTTTTTCCTAAATGACCTGCATTACACTGTCATATTCTTTTCTTGCTTCAGGGCTAGGCTTACTAAATCTTAGCCTGGGCCTTTACTCAGTAGTCAAGGAAATGGTTCTACAATTTGGAAGCTCAGTCTCTCTAACCTGAGTTTGACGTGCTGGCTTATCTGACAGCTGCATGTCTCAGGGGCCAGGGTCTGTAGGTTCCGAACCCTGCTCGGAGTGGAGGGGCCACCTCCCTCACACTTTGATTAAGAGTGAGCAGAGAGGCCAAGGATGATTAAAATCCCTTTGGGAGAAGGGACACATCTTAGATTCCAACATGGAATGTGTTTACATGATGTCATGGTACTACTCCTGGAAACCCTCAGTCTAGTAGCAACACCTCAGATTAATATTAATCAGTTCACATGATGGAAATTCAGTGCATCTTGAATTAGAATTAATACATGAATTTAATGAATGTTCTCAGCATAATCAATTATGCCGAGTATTGCTCTTGTCACGAAGAGTAACTGTCACTTTTTTTGTTTGTGTATTATTCTGCATGTGCTTTTTGTCATTATTATTAGTGTGAAACCAGACTAGTTGACTTGATATGATTAATAACGGTGATTAGAGAATGGGGGATTAGTGTTTGAGTAGAAGTAGCCAGGATGAAACATTGGGAAATGGATGAAGATAAAGTGTATCCAGGAAGAAAGTAATAGACCTAGCATTGCTTGTGATTTAAGGAACTGCTGAGTCACAGCTGAAGCATGGCATCTTTGACAGAAGATGAGTGATTATTATTCAGTTTAAGAAAACTGACAACATGCTTTAAAGAATGAAACAGGAGGGAGGGGGGTGGATAATTATTTGTTGGGGGAGGAAGGTAGATAAAAAGCCATTATGGATACAAATATCTTGTTAGATAGAAGTAGTAAGACCTAGTGTTTGATAGATTATTAGGGTGAATACAATTAACAATAATCTACAGTACATTTCACAATAATGAGAAAATAATAATTTGAATGCTCCTAGCACAAAGAAAAGATAAATATTTAAAGTGATAGATATCCCAATTCCACTTATTTGATCTTTACACACTATCTGAGTGTATCAAATTATCTCATGTACCCCAAAACATATGCATCTCTTACGTATCAATAAAAAATTTAAAAATCCATTAAGATGCCAACGATCTTAAATTTTATCTAATATAAAAATACTATTATATTTAAAATATTAATACAGTTGTTTCATTTAAATGTACTTATGATGAGAGGTGTTCCTCAAAATTTTTTTTTATCATCTGTGAAAGAATTTAGCAAACCTAATATCCCCTTACACATTTTTGTTGACATCTATTTTTTCATAACTTTAAATAATTAAAAAAATTGAAAGTTTCCAAGTGTTATATATTCTATTTGTCCTTTAAATATTCTCATCCAAACCTTGAAGTGGAAGGTTTAGTTCATTTTAATTCATAAAAGATACTTGCCATACATATGTTGTAATTTGCAAGTCCTCAACATGACACTAATTCTTGAACTAATCAGTCAATTCAGTCTTACCTTTTGTTAGAAAATGGTTGACAGTTATTTGGTATAAATAAATCTGTTGATGTGTGTTCTTATGACCAGCAGTACCCTTTTGGATTGGAGGTGATGGAGAATCACAACAGCTGAGTGACTGAGTGCATAGTCCCTAAAGTGCAGTTTATGAGCTGAGTGACCTCAGGCAAGTTACTTAATCTCTCTGTGATAATATTTCTACCTATAAAATGGGAATATAACAGTGCTTTCTTCAAGGGTTAATATTTATAAAATACTTTGAATGTAGTATTAGGTGTGTGTGTGTTAAATAAACACATTTCTACCAAAAGATAAAGTTCAGTGCCTTGCCGTAAATTTGTCACAGAGATGAAATAAACTATACCTCCTTTCAATATTTGTTACTGGAGCTCTTTTCTCAGTATGTTGTACTCCTCTTCTTATGTCTGTATTTATAATTCTCACAATCATTATTAATTTTCCCAGGATTCCATGGGAAACTTGTGTTTACCCTCAATAGTTAGAGACGTACAAGGATGGAGAGGGAACAGAGCCATCTTCCCAGAACCAACTTCTGCCAGAGGAGTCCCATGATAATCCCAGCCAAAAGAATGAAAACATCAGTAATGGCTGTGACATAAGAAAATCCTGAGAAAACAGAGAAAAAGTTTTATGTGAGTGCCACATTCCAGTTTGCAGAGTTAAGATAGATGAGAACATTCATTAAATTCATGTATTAATTCTAATTCAAGATGCACTGAATTTCCATCATGTGAATCAGATATTTTATTTCTTTCTTTCTCATTGTATAGATAATGTCTATAATTAGAGAAAGAGACTCAATCCTACCTTTTCTTCCAAACTGTCTATCTTCACTAGGGTGGAGTTCTTGTCTATGCAGTCCTTTCTACTGTTAGTCCAGGTTTTCTCTTCATTTGTTGTAAAATAATAGCAACTATTTTGGTACCATTGCCACATCTTAGGACATGGATTACATCTGTGGTCTGAAAAGGAAATTATACTCAATAATAAAAACTGAATGACCCTGGAGTGACTGGAGAAGGCTTTGAAACAAAATCATTTAATTGAACAATAGAGTCTGAGAGCCAGCACTGTGAAACCATACTGCTTTAGAAGCCTCTGAAAATAAGGTGACCCCTGGTTATGGGTTGGGGCAATAGGGGTTCTCTTTTCAGGGCTTAGTCTTCTGGCTTCAGAATTACCAGCTATACTTTTAAGCTTTCATAACAACAGGATCACCTAGAAATAGTTAATGAAATGAGGGCTTGAAGTATCTGGGTTGGTATCATTCCAAGATACTTCCCAAATTTGCCTGTGGCTTCAAAAATATTAAATGAATTTGTATATTTCCTTGCTGTCTGTAAATTTGGTGCAACATCATTGAGGTTCATTGGATGACATAACTCTCTCAATACTCTGAGGTGGTGCATGTGATCAACTTAGACCAGGGCGACATATGCCATCTGACTGGTCAGCAGGTCTTAGTCTGATTACCTGAAGTATGAATGATTAGCTCTTGGCACAGTTTGATGGCCATTTGTTCCTGCCTCTTCAGTAGACTGGAGATCTGTGACTTGAGAAATTCCTCCTCCATGGACAAGTTATTGGAGTTGCCCAGTTGCTGGGATAAGTTACCCTGCCGCTGGTGGATGGTTTTCTGAAGTTGACTCAATTTCTCTGAATCTGAGTTAATGTCATTAGATATCTGCAAAACTCCAAGACATGACAGGAGACAAGTTCATATATTCTTCTATTCTCATAACTGTAGACAATTCTCATGACAGAAACATTTCTTAATTGTTCACAATTCATTAGTAGCTCTTAATATTTGAGGTATCATGCAAGAAACGAGATGCCTTTCTATTCCAAATTATTTATGGTTCTTTTTAATTTTATTTACATTTTTATTATTACACTATATTAAAATAATGATTTAATAATTATGTATTTCTGACATCACATCTAAGGAAGGGCCAGTCATTCTGCCACTCATTTTCGTGAAATTATTTTATTTTTGTTTTATTTTATTTGGAGATAGATGATGTAATTGTTGTTTTAATGAAAACAGCATTCTTTGGGACAATGGATATCGCAAACTCTGCAGATGACCTGAGATGCTTGTTTACCAAAAGGTTAAAAAAAGCAGATCTTAATGGCACATCAGACCATTTCTGGTCATGGGTCCATGAAATACACCCTTTTCATAAGCATTTAAGGTGCTTCATCAGCACAACAAATTTAAGAACCACTGCACCAAAAGCACTAAATTTTAGAAAAGAAATGTCACCCTTCTATATCAAACCAATGGACACATGTTATTGCATTTTCACTTAATTTTTAAATGTACATTATTGTAGAAGATCAGCTGCTAATCTCATACTGATTGGCTCCAGAATATCTGTCACTGCTGCTTGAACATCATATTCCTTTTCAAAAGAGCAAGGTACATCATTAACCTCTTTTTGTGTTGACAAAGATATGTCCAAATCCTAATTATCCATTAAATCTTAAAGAATTATCCATTAAATCATTAAAAAGAAATGAATGTGGCAGAGGAGATGTTAGTATCATTCAGCAAATTAACTTTCTTGACTATGAGTTCCCTGTAAGTGAATACCATGCCAATTCACTACTCTGTATACCATACACTTAACAACTCTATAAAGTTTGTATTCTCAGGATGTTTTCCTCATTACTCAAGAACTCCCTACCACGTTCATCCCCAACTGCCCAAGGATGGGTCAGAATCAATAGAACGTTACTTTGTGGCCGTGGTGCTTGAGAGTGGAGCTTCCATTGTCATGTGGAGATGGTTCAACTCTCTTAGTTGGTAAAGTGTATCAGGCCATTCTTCCTCCTTGTTTATATGTCTTTCTCATTCATAGAAATCAGGCTGCTGCTGCTACTTGGAAGATTTCTCTCCACTAGAGAAGTCTCATGTAAGCAGACTGAGCCTAGTCTAGTGCTAAGTCTTCCCGGTAAATAACATAGCATGCACTTCCTTCAGTACATATTTCGTGACTTTATTTCTCAGCCTTGGAATGATAAGTGAATGTGTGTCTAGGCAGAAAAGAGGCTCTTTATTCTAATGAATAACTAGAAACAAAGAGTCTTCATTTAAGTCCAGTTCAGCTTATCAAGATAAAACAATGAATTTAGAACCACATCCTGATAATGTTGTTTGCCGGTTTATTGGGATGATATGACGAATTGGAGATATATGAGACAGCAGAAAAGTATCAGAGGATTCAGGATGCTAGGACCCATCTGCAATCCAAGCTGATTACATATGGTTTACAAATAGGTTTTCTAGTTGCTTTTGTTGGGTTCGATGCGGATATACTTACACATCATCCCCAAGGTCACCAGCCCAATCAGCAACATCAGGCAAAGAGTTAGCAGACCCAGGGCAGCATGACGCCAAATGGGAGATGGAGCTGGATGCCCTGGAGAAAGCCCACAAAGCAATTAGCAAACAGAACTGCTTTGTGCTTTTTTCGCTTTGGTTTGTTTATTTCTCGCACTTAGGGAGCTTCCAGATACTAACATTTCTTTCTTGCTCCTTTGATGCCCTCATTTAGAAAATACCTAATATAGGGCCGGGCTCGGTGGCTCAAGCTTGTAATCCCAGCACTTTGGGAGGCCGAGACGGGCGGATCACGAGGTCAGGAGATCGAGACCATCCTGGCTAACACAGTGAAACCCCGTCTCTACTAAAAAATACAAAAAAAACTAGCCTAGCCGGACGAGGTGGCAGGTGCCCGTGGTCCCAGCTACTTGGGAAGCTGCGGCAGGAGAATGGCGTGAACCCGGGAGGCGGAGCTTGCAGTGAGCTGAGATTCGGCCACTGCACTCCAGCCTGGGCGACAGAGCGAGACTCCGTCTCAAAAAAAAAAAAAAAAGGAAAAAAAAAAAAGAAATTACCTAATATAAAGTACAATGAGGGTGCCGTCATTGGTTCCCCTCCATTTCTCCACCGCTCTTCTTCCCTTTAAGAGGAAGCTTCTCCTAATTTCAAGGTTTTTGCTTTACACCATTACCCACTTTTCTTCCTCAAGTTTATTGAATTCATAAATGAGAGATCTATAAAGTGCTTTTCTGGATGATACTGACAGTAGGAGACACCTCAAGCTTTTGAGCTCAAAAGTCTCTATAAGGCAGATGTTCTATCTGCCTTGTAAAAGTGGATTCTACTTTTTAAAGTATCTTTTACCTGTTAACAATAACTTATCTATTATTCATGCTATTTATCACCTAATAACTAATGAATGAATACTGAATGAAAGAAAGAAAGAATGTGCAGTCTAACTTACAAACAGCAGAATAGACCAGAAAGCCATTAGCATCCTACTCTTAGTAGTTGTTGTCTAAAATATCAGTGATTGTCATATTTTCCTTAGCTTCGTGTTCCTTGATTTAGGTCCAAATAACATCTAACCCAATATTTTAGATATAGCGTTACAGTCTCCAGGTGCACTGATATGCACCATATCCACACTTCCCTTTTTCCTCACAGATTAGAATTAGAAGTTAAAAAAAGAGAAGGCAAAAATGTGGAACCACCTTTATTAGACACATGCAAAGTCTATTCCCATCATCTTTTTGTAGATATCCTTCCCTCAAATGTCATGTACCACACAAAATGTAAAGATAAATCTAGAGGGCAGGAGAAAGAAGATCAGATGACTGACATGATTCAGGAGAACCTGGATAGTTAACATATCTGAAAATAAGAGATGTGGTCTTATGTCCACAGAATCTGGTTTGATTCTTGAACATGGAGACTGCTATTTATTCCAATTAGGCATAAGAGAATGAGCTGAAGACCAGCACTGAGTCTGGGCTTCCCCACATAGCAGTTGTGTGAGCTTGTTAAATTATCTAATTTCTCTCAGCCTCAGTTTCTTCATCTATGTAATGGAGAAAATACTAATATTCGAATATTATCGTGAATTGTCATCACAATTATATCTGTATATAATGTACATAAAATACTACCCAGATACTATTATTACTGGTTCAACATTACAAATTATTTCTTCATCTATGTAATGGAGAAAATACTAATATTCTATTATTACTGGTTCAACATTACAAATTATACTTGGATTTCAACTACCCTAAAATTTGAAAAACTACTGACAAAAGAGAAACTAGCTCTGATCCATTTCTAATCCATCTTCCAGTTCTCTCTGAAGTAACTTACATCATCTAAAAGAAAAATGTCCTCTACCTTCTCTATTTTAGAAGCCTCCAATCTGGTTTCTGAAAGAATATCCTCCTGGCATCTCTAACAAGGTATAAATATCAAGGATTATATTCATAAAAAGAAATCTCTAATTCCCCAGGCTCAATTTCTGGCATGTCCAGTCAGAATTTTTCTCTACAACACAGAGCTTCCTGAAACATAGTGATATCACACAATTTTAAAGAGGTTCTGAAAGTCACATATTTTCGCTTCAACCTTGGGAACACTCACTCTTCTACTACATTCCACAAGATTTGTTCCCATTTTGGAGATTTCACAGCACACTGTCTTTAACGCCAGCATTAAAGCCGGCACCTCAAATCATTTAACACCTGTCCACTCCCCCAATGACACAGCTGGTGTTCTCTGAACTCCTACCTTTTTTTCTTAGGTTATTTCCATGTCGGTTATTCCTTGCTCCAGCATAATCCTGAAATGTGAGTGTCGCGTAGGTCACTTCTTCAGACATTGTAGAAGAAAACCCTACTTTAAATTATCTAATTAATGTTTCAATATCTTGAGGCCTGGGAACAGGGTGTCTTTTTCAAGGCTGGGAGCTTTGATATAGACACTCAGCTGACCCAGACACACTCCACTGCCCCTCTGTAAGAGGAGAATGACAATTTGTTTCTCTGCAGAGAAAGTGAGAAAAGTCAAATATTCTCCTTAGAAATATTCTCATTAGAATGTTACAGATCTCAAACTGTCTGCTCTGTCAGCATTGTTTCTTGCTGTGCAGCTAAGAAGGGGTGCTTGGAGGCAGAACGGGAGGAATGTGGAGAACCTCCATGATCCTGGAGGTAGAGGCTGCTCTGAATGTTTCAGAAAAGAGTCAGGTTATCTTCTTTACATCTACCTAAGGCTAGCTAATCTGCCTGGAGATGCTGGTTCTAGTTTATTCTCAGCCACATCAGATATTAAGCAGAAACACACATTAAGACAGGAAGAGCTGTGTCACAGACCTGGCTGCCATTATAGGAAATTCAAACACGTGTGTGTGTGTGTGTGTGTGTGTGTGTGTGAGAGAGAGAGAGAGAGAGAGAGAGGGATGGTGTTGGTAATGGGGTATGGAGAAGAAATTGATAGCTACTTAGCTACTTAACGTGAGTATGAATGGGAGTGCCCTCTTCTGGCAAGATTGGAAAAGTTCCTAACAGAACACCCACCCTAGAATAATCCTTCAGACAGCAAGGAATACACAGGACAAAATTTTTAAAAGATTTTTAAAACCTGAAGTTTCATGAGAGTGAAAGTGAAAAAAGCAGGTCGATTCTAGAGAGAATGAGACTGGCACATGGTAAGGTGTTTTTGGTTTTATTTTTTATTTATTTATTTATTTATTTATTTATTTTTTCATTTTTTAGATGGAGTCTCGCTCTGTCGCCCAGGCTGGAGTGCCGTGGTGAGATCTCGGCTCACTGCTTTTAGTTCGTTTGTTTGTCTTTCAGTCATTCCTGCAGGGTAGCAGAATTCTTATAGAAAGCATGCTGTATATCCGGATTACAAAATCAGATGATGCTGTGTGGGGCAACCACAGCTACAAAGAGCACTGAAGTAACTGAATATCCATACAACTACTGGTTAATGAGGATCTCTAGAGTGTCTTTAGGACTTGAAGCCTCTTTAAACTTCTATGTATTTAGATTTTATTTTTTTTAAACTTAATAAAATAACCAACCTCTATTTTATCTCGCTTAGGTCTAAAAATACTCTGAAAAGATGCATCCAGTACAATTGAAGTAAACTCACTGCACTGCTTTGTGCAGTGAGTTTACTTATACTGTGATATTATAAATTTGAACAACACAACATGAGCAATAAAGAGTTGACAGTTTGTATAAACAGTGTTCTATTATCTGGAAGAACAGGAGAAAACAACATGTTGCACATGTACTTGGTCATAGGATTTATAGCCATAGGATTTACATACACCTTAAAAAACTGAACCTACTTCTAAACCTACCATAACTTTTCATTAAATTTACTAATTTATATAACAAAGTAAATTGTTGTTAAGAATCTGCGGGAGGTCGAATAATAGCCCTGAAGGATGCCCACGTTCTAATCCTCAGAACCTCTGAATATGGCGGCTCACCTTGGCAAAAGGGACGTTTCAGATACTGTTACGGTTTTTCAATAGTGTAACTGATCAAATAAGCTACAGAGATGCTGTAAATTTTGAAGGTTACAGACCTTGAGATGAGAAAATTACCCTGGATTATCTGGGTAGATGCGATTTGATTACTTGAGTCCTTAAAAATGGAAGATATTTCTTAGATGTGGTCAGAAGGTGATGTGACCAAAGCAAAGAAAAGAACGCTCAGGGACATGCAATATTGCTAGCTGAAGAGGGAGGAAGGGAGCCAGGAGCCAGTGAATTTGGGCTAGACAATGGAAAAGTAATAAGGAAACTGTTTTCCACAGAGCGAGCCTTTAGAAAGGAATATATCCCTAGCGAGAGCCCTGATGTTAGCCCGGTGAGACTCATGTCACACTTTTAACCTGCAGAGCCTTAAGATAATACATGTGTGGCAATTTGTTACAACAGCAATATGTAGTCAATACAGAACCCAGGAAAATATGGGCGGGGCAGGGGGGCGCTATACATGACTGATGAAACTAAGGAATCTCTTCTAAAACTTTCCTTTGGGGAGAGGCAGATGATTGGATAACTGTACTTAGGTGAAGGATTTGGTATGAGTTTTGTGGTTTCAGATGACTGGGGAGTGATCTAAAACTTCCAACGCTCATGTCTGTGTGGAGATTTTCTTAGTCAAAGGTGTCCATCATGAGGTGCACTCACTCCACAGGTGTGAAGCAGGTACAGAAAGGCAATGTGAAAACTTTCTCTTTAGGAATATTGTGCATGATCTCTAGACACCTGAATGTACATATGTTGCTTGGTCATTGTTTTTTTCCAAATTGATGAAATACTCAAAAAAATGTTGGAGGCTCTAAGTCATATATCAACAAAACTCCACTATCAAAAATATGGAAACAAATAATAAATCTATACTTTTTACTATTCTAGGTGAATTAAGAAAAGGCAGAGACCATTGACATTAATAGGACCAGTTTAAATAAGTGATTACAAAAATAAGAAATTAAGAATGGTTTTCTATCTCTGTTCTGGTCTGTGTCGGTTCCTGCAGGTGGGTTCGTGGTCTCGCTGACCTCAAGAATATAGTCATGGACCTTCACGGTGAGTGTTACAGCTTTTTTTTTTTTTTTTTAGACGAGTGTTGCTCTGTCGCCCAGGCTAGACACTCGCAATCTCGCAATCTGGCGCAGTCTCGGCTCACTGCAAGCTCCGCCTCCTGGGTTTATGCCATTCTCCTGCCTCATTCCCCGGAGTTGCTGGGACTACAGGTGCGCCACTACCCCAGCTAATTTTTTGTATTTTTAGTAGAGACGGGGTTTCACTGTGTTAGTCAGGATGGTCTCGATCTCGTGATCCACCTGCCTCGGCCTCCCAAAGTACTGCGATTACAGTTACAGCTCTTAAAGATGGCACAGACGCAAAGACTGGGCAGTAGCAAGGTTTGTCGCCAACAGTCAAAGCACCCACGGCACCTGATTAGATTGCTGCTGCGGGTAGATGGGGTGCCCAGCTTTTATTTCCTATTGTCCCCGCCCATGTTCCATTTCTGTCCTATCAGAGTGCCCTTTTTACAATCCTCCCCACAATTGGCTATTTTTAGAATCTGCTGATTGGTGCATTTTACAGAGCACTGATTGGTGCATTTTACAGAGCACTGATTGGTGTGTTTTACAGTGTGCTGATTGGTGCATTTTACAGAACGCTGATTGGTGTGTTTTACAGTGTGCTGATTGGTGCATTTTACATGGCGCTGATTGGTACATTTTACAATCCTCTTGTAAGACAGGAAAGTTCCTCATCTCCCCACTCTATCCAGGAAGTCCAGCTGGCCTCACGCTCATAACTTTCACCAGATTTTGCAAAAACTGGGTTTGTATCCTCATTTCCTTAATTCTTTCACGTACCTTAAAGTTTCCTAACAAAGTATTAACCTCTCACTATCCATGAAATGATGCCTAGCTTGAACAATGATGAAGAATGTCACCTGGTTCCTAATTATTTCTAAGAGAAAGAAGATTGATAACACTTCTCACATACTTTCTATTATTATGATCCAAAAAGCTGTATCATCTATCATTATTAGTGTATGATCATATTAATTTAGACATTTCTGTACTTTTCTCCCTTAAAAACTTACAGCATCTCTGTAGCTTATTTTATCAGTTACGCTGTTAAAAAACTCACTTTGTTACATTTACTAAATTCTTCTCATTTCTTTATTATTTTTTCAACTCTCTTAAATCTTATTGACCTCTACTCCTATCATGATTATCATCAGTGATTTCGAAATTCAGGTGGGTGATAATTCCAATACTCTGGGCTCTCATTTCTTGAATTTGCCTCCAATAACCTTACCCACACTCAGAAATCAGTTGCTCGCACACAAAAATCAGTCACCCACTAGATGATCCTAGCTGAGAGCTATGCTATTCACCATAGTAATCACTAGGCATATAATGGCTATTTAAATTAATTAAAATTAAATAAAATTTAAAATGTATTTCCTAGGTCTCACTAGTCATACTTCAGGTACTTAATAGCCACAGGTGGCATTGGCTATGCAATTGGACAGTGCAGGTAAATAATATTTCCATTATTCCCAACATTGCTATTTGAACAGCAGTGTCCTAGAGTGCAGACAATTTCATTTCCAGTATGAGAAACTCCTCCATTATCTGTTTTAGATACTTCACTCTCTGACCTCCACCTCCTATCTTTCCAGCCCACTCTCTCTGGGGATTCTGCACTCTACAGTATTTCAGTGCCCACTGAGATAGCAACCTCACTGACCATGCCACATTTTTACTGTTGTCAGTCCCTCATGTCTCACTGTCTATTATACCTAGCATGCACCACTTACCGGGGACAATTATAAAAATCATTTTATTACACACAGCTCCAACTTCCTTGCTTACCTCTTCATTATCATAAGCATCTAGAAAATGCAGCTTGGTTAAATCCAACCCTACCTGCTCTGTGCATACATTCAAATAGCTGAATGTGACCATATTAGCTGGTTTTATCTTACGTTTTTGAAATGTAACTTCCCAGCACTCTTACTAATCAATCTGTTCTGCAAATCTCCTAAAAGATTATTCCCCATCTCTTTTTCTTTCTCAAACTCTCAAATTTCTTTCTGTCTTCTCTTTCTACAAACTCAGTGGTTAACCTGGCTTTTCCATTAACATTATCTTAAGCAAAAAAAATTCAGAAAGGCATTTTCTCTGTTTCACTAATCAAATATACCAAAACACCTACATCAGTATGTAAGGTAGTATCCTTTTCAACAGTGGTTAAATTGTACTACCTCATCTAAGATTAATCTCCATCTGTATA